GCCGCCACCGCCACCGCTGCCGCCGCCGCCGCCGCCGGGCAGGTTCAGCAGCAGCAGCAGCAGCAGCAGCAGCAGCAGCAGCAGCAGCAGCAACAGCAGCAGCAGCAGCAGCGGCGACACCAGCAGGGAAAAGTGACGGTGAAATACGATCGCAAGGAGCTTCGGAAGCGCCTGGTGTTGGAGGAGTGGATCGTGGAGCAGCTGGGACAGCTGTACGGCTGCGAGGTACCTGGGCACCTGGCCGGGCGGGGAGGAACCCCCTTTTGCCCTTGTGCGCCCCTCACGGGGAGCCTCTGCGGCTCTGGCTCCCCGGGACCCGCGCGCCGGACGCGGGCGCCGCGCTCTCCATCGCCGGGACGCCCCGCGCGGCGCCGCACTGGGGCGCCACCGCCGCCCGGTGCCCGTGCCCGGAGCAGGGCGGAGGATGCAATCGATCCTTGGAAGAAGTGCGTTGCTGGTCTGGAGCTCCTGGCAGCTTTGCCTTCAGTCCAAGGTTGGGGTGGGGGTGGAGGGGGAGATGGACACTCTCCCTCCCCCCTCCCCCGGTTGTGCCTGAGCCAGCCTCGGTTGGGGAACGAGAGCCCCCGACAGCAGCAGCCCCCTGCCAGGCCTGATTTGTTTTTGGATGGAGAGGGAGGCGGGGGGGGGGGGACGGAGGAGAGAGGTTCTGGGAATCTCAGAACCTCTTGGTCCCTCCATTTCCACATCAATGCTTCCCTTTTCCAGCCTTCCACACCCCCGCCCCCAACGCGAACCCCCACCATTCATTCATTCATCCCTGCCTTCCCCAAACTGCACACGTCGAGCTTCGTTGGTGGCGGGGTTGGGGGTGGGGGGGGGCGGCAGCTTTCTTTTGGGCTTTCCGAGCACACGCGTTTACTTCCAGCGGTGGGCACAGCCTGAGGGCTGGGGGCCCCCTGGAGGGGTGGGGAGCAGGATGGGGAGGGGAAGGGGGGCAGGGGAGGTAGCAGTTCTGTGAACCTCACCCTGGTTGACCACAGTTCAGGGGGCTAAGGTTTTTGCTCGGGTCTGATGACACAGATATCTTCGATGTAGGGAGATGGATTTAAAATAAGCAGCAAGAAACCCGAGAAAAATGACGGAAGCTAAATGATCTCCCGTGAGAATGTTCAGGAACCGAGGCTGAATGAGGTGCCCTGCTTACCGGAGTTGGGACGGGGCGAAAAGCCAGGAGAGATGAGCATGAAGGGTACGGCTTCTCAGTGGAAGCTAGATTTGTGAGCTTGTTAACTGGTAAGCTTTTCAGCAAGAACGAGACACATTGAACTTCATGGCTTCCTGGCTGGTTTGGGAGGCATTTTGTATTTCACACATTTTATGGTCTATTGTGAACACATTGGTTTTCTCCAACATTTTCATTGGACGAGGAATCAGCATTCCCATTGCTCACAACTGATGACTGATTGATTATGACATAATGAAGCTTGGCTGTGTAATAAGCTTGTAAAAATATATTGCTTTTCCGGCCTAGCTTTTAGAAAAAAACAATTTAATTGCATTAATAATAATAATAATAATATAAAAAAATACTGGCAACAAGAAGAAGTGTTCCTAGGATTTTTTTTTTTTAATAGGAAGGTTGTGAAGGTCTTTAGAAAAACAATATATTTGACTTAGCTGGAATTCTAGTTGGGTGAATGGATGTGTTTAGTCTCTTTTCTCCCTATACATTTTAATTTATATCCTACTGGCCTTAATATTCCATTTTGGGTTTGGAGGAAATTTGAACTGATAGAAACACTATTGTTGAAGTTAACAATGTTTCATTGGGTGTAGCTTGGGAAGCTAGAATTCTCAGTAGCTGATAAATTTTATATTTTAGAAATTCTTCACTGGGTAGTAATAGAAGCTGGTGGCTCATTCCTGTAATCCTAGCTACTCAGGAGGTTGAGATCTGTGGGTTGAGGTTCAAAGCCAGCCTGGGCAGGATAATGCCTGTGAGATTCTTATCCCTAATTACCTCCCTTCCCTCAAAAAAAGCCAGAAATGGCACTGTGGCTTAAGCAATAGAGTACTAAACTTAAGCACAAAAGCTCAGGGACAGAGCCCAGGTTCTGAGTTCAAGACCCAGGATAGGCAACCCTCCTGTGCTCCCCCAAAAAAGTGTTGTTGTTGTTGTTTTTCTCCCCAGAATAATTGGGGAAAATGGAAGTTCCAATGTTCACTATTGATCGTGTAGGTAGGCATATATTTTAAAGGGTAAATATGACCTTGAGTCTTTTTCTTGTACTTTTTTTCTTTTGTGGTTTTTAGATAGGCTTATAGCAAACAATTTGATGTTTGAGATAATCTAAGATTGTCTATGTACATTTCATTAGAATGTGTAATCATTTCTCTTCAATTTGTCCAGTGACTAAGCTGAACAAATAGAGATCATTGAGAAGATTACTGGCAATTTGCAATTACTATACTGACTTATACTTTCACTTAATCATAAAGGAATATGTAGAGCTGGGTGCCTGTGGTTCATGCCTATAATCCTAGCTACACAGGAAGCTGAGATCTGAGCATAATAGTTCTAAGCCGGCCTGTTCAGGAAATTCCATAAAACTCTCATCTAGGGCTGGGAATATGGCTCTGTGGTAGAGTGCTCACCTAGCATTCATGAAGCCTTGGGTTCGATTTCCCAGCACCACATACACAGAAAAAGCCAGAAGTGGCTCAAGTGGTAGAGTGCTAGCCTCAAGCAAAAGCTCAGCTACAGTGCCCCGGCCCTGGGTTCAAGCCCCTGGACTGATGAAACCAAACCAAACAAAAAACAAAAAAAACTCAACTCCAATTAACCAGCAAAAAGCCAGAAGTAGAGATGTGGCTCAAGTGGTAGAACCTAGACTTGAGTAAAAAAGCTAAAGGACTGCATATCCAGGCCATGAGTCCAAGCCTCAATACTGGCATATACACCGACAGAATGTAGCCTAATAAGGAGTTAAGTAAGGTGGGTGGGGGGCTCTTTTTATTTATTCCCTGGTGGGACTATTTTTAGCATTAGTTTTTCTCCTCTGGTTGTCTATCCTTGATTATTTTAGTATTTAGTATTTTAGCCTCTGGTTTGCAAACTGAGAAGACCCTTAAGTTATAGTTTCCAACCTCATAAATACGAAGATAAGCAAGTATCCTTTTTACATTAAATTGATGATATGTCCCCTCAATACCTATTTCATGAAATTGGCACAAAAACTCAACTTGTCAGACTCAAGTTCACAGTAGACAAAGGCCTGAGTACCCTACTGAGTGAGATAGAAGGTGAACACCTATTATTTAGTTGTTTGTTTTTTGTTGGTTTTGGGGCAGGCTTGAACTCAGGGCCTGAGTGCTGACCCTGGGCTTTTTCCAATGGGCTACCATTCTACCATGTTGAGTCACAATACCACTTCTGTTTTTCTGGTGGTTAATTGGTAATGAGACTCATGGACTTTCCTGCCTGGACTGTCCTTGAACTACAATCCTCAGATCTCAGCCTCTTGAGGAGCTATGATTACAGGCATGAGCCACAATTGTCCAGCTGTGAACACTCATTTAATTGCAGAAGAACTTGTACTGGACAGTAGTTAGATGACTTGTCGTTTTCAGAATAGAGAATCATTTTCTTTCAGAGAAGCTTAAAGTTAGCATGGAAGAAAAGAAATATCCACAGACCTGGCTGTGGTTTTTACCCAGGAGCTTGCAGTGGCTAATCAGTCTTATGTGGAGAGTAATTAGACAGACAGCATCTGGGGAGGGCGTACGTGCCAGGCGCTGCTCTAGGAGCCTGCTGTATGCTGATTTATGAGTCTGTGATGAGGGTAGCCTTAAGTATCCTTGTTTTAAAAGTGAGGAAACATCAGGAACGCGAAGAGACCATCCCAAGCTCATCTAGCCGGGGAGGGGTGTAGGATAGGGTTTGGGTTCTGAACCAGGCAAATGTGACTCTGAGGTCCCTATAGAATTGCAAGTCTGTTAGCTTTGCAGAGAGAAAAGGAGGGCCTGCAGAGCATATGTTTCTATTTTATTTTTATTTTCTTTTATTATAGAGGTGATGTAAAGAGGGGTTTCAGTACATAAATAAAATATAGTACAATTCTTTTTGAACATTGTTACCCCCTCCCTGTTTTCTCCCACTTTCCCTCCCCCAACTCCTCTTCCCTCCAAGTTGTAAAGTTCACTTCTAACATAGTGTCCAGTACGTATTGCTGTTGCATCGGTTCAGCCTTTGTCCCGCCATTTCTGTGATCCCATTTCTGTGCTTCCACTTCCCTTTCCCAAATCAGATAAACTTATATCCAAGACAGAGGTACTGAAATATAAAACAGTGACAACAGGGAATAAACTAAAACGGGGGGGGGGGAAGAAGAAAGAAATAACTGCAAACAGTACACTGAAACAAAGCAAAACAAAAAACCTCAGTTTCCCTATCTTGGAGTTCATTTTGATTCGCATCGTTTTATGGAAAGACTTGGAAAAATCATATTAAGTGAAGTAAGCCAGATCCAAGGAAACATAGGCTCCATGGTTTCCCTCATTTGTAATAATTAGTGTAAGTCTAGGGTAGTCCTAGCAGAGGATCACAATAATGCAATAGCTATATACACCTTTCAGTGAAATAAGCCAACAGGCATGGATCTAAATTTGTTCTATTTACCTACTTTGACAACAGTGTCTTTATAATGACCCAAAAGGCTGGGTTTGAATTTCGAATTCTCCATTTCCCAGAGCTCAGAGCTGGAATGCAGTTAAGAAAATCTGCCCCTGGCCCAGGTGTCACTTTTGGTTCCCATTCCTGGTACAAAACCAACTTGAGAAGGGTGTTAAGTGCATCTGCATGACTAGTCTGTACACATTTTTTCAGCCACCCTTGACCATGCTGCTGGCTCATACCATGTCTGAGAGGAGCCTGCCCCAGAAGCTATTGGTTATTGATAAAAACAGTTGCGGTGATACTGGCTCCAGAGAGTTGGGTCTCCTTGGTCCTAGACAGCCTTCCAAAAGGCAGACTAGGGCCTCAGACAATGGTGCCATTCTTTTTGTTGTTGTTGTTGATGGTTGTGGGGCTTGAACTCTGGACCTGGGCGCTGCCTCTGAATTGTTCTGCTTAAGGTGAGTGCTCTACCACTTGAGCCACAATGCCGGATTTCTGTTGGTTAATTGGAGATGAGTCTCACAGACTTTCCTGCCTGGGCTTTGAACTGTGATCCTCAGATCTCAGCCTCCTGTGTAGCTAAGATTAC